AACTACACATCGTATGTGATAATTTCATAATATTGCACTAAATCCACATAAATTCTATCACAAATAAAAGTTTTCAAAAGTTTTAAAATGAAATTTTATAAATATACAAAAAACTTTCCCTAATTCCATACAATTTTTTAAATAACTCCACGAAATCTACAAAAATCATCACTTAAAAAAAGTCCATCAAATTCTTCAAAAATCCCTATTCAATACACCCCTTTAAATCCCAAACACTGAAATAAGAAACTAACAGAGAAGCCCTGATGAATACAGTAAATTATCTAACATAGCAAATTAGTGGCATGCCTATACCTGATCGATCTGATCCCACCATCTGAACTCAGTTTGGATCTTATTGCGAAAGACGTTATACAAAAGGGTCGGGTAAAACAAGATCCGTGCCCCTGCTCCGACTAGAACTCTTTTGGCATCCACCCGAACTGCGATCAGCCTTCTTTCTTGATCATCATCACTGTTATTACTCCAATTGGTATCAACACTACTATCGATCGGTTCACCCAGTTGTTCAATCTTCATCGCAACCAATATTAATAATCCCAAAAACCAAAAAATAAAAATAAAAAAATCCCACTGATCTGTTTTGATTAGGTCAAACCCACTAAAAATTTGGGGGAAACGAAATGAAAAATCCAGCTGATACAAACTATGTACGAAGCCCTGAAATTTCCATTGGATATTGTCTAAATTGAATCGATCTATGTCTTGACTGGTAAAATAATTAATTATATGTGAGTAATTAACGAAAATTGAAGTGAAGTGGGAATTGGGGGTGGGAAAGAGTTACGAAATTCGAGGGAACTTGCGATCATCGAGAGTGGATTGTATTGGTGGCAGTATTTTGGGGAGCAAATTGAGGATTTTGGGAGTGAAATTGTTAACAGAAGTAACGTAAGATTGATGAATGGAGAAGGCAAAGGGAATCAAAAGTCAAATACTGCCTTTCCCTTTTTTTTTTTGTAATTTATTATTATTATTATTAAAAAAAAAAAAATTCTGTTTATGTTGAGGGTGGTTGGTTCCAAAATTTCTTAATTGTTTAAGTAAAAATCAGATTTTTATTTAATTTCGATAAAAGTTTATAAATATTGTGATTTTCGAAAATTATATGGTAAAAAATGTGCAAAAAATGAATTATAGAAAATAAGATGCAAACAATATTATTGAAATATTAGGACGTGTTCGGTAGAGATTAAAACTGGATTAAAATTAAAAAATTAGCATTTATTGTTGACTTTTATTAGACAAGTGGGACCCAATAACTGCCATATTTTCAATTTTAATTGGATTTTAATCCGTACCAAACAGGCCCTAAGATTTCTTTTAACCATACTAATAAATAAAAGATAAGTAAGTAGAAAAAAGAAAGGCTGAATTTCATTCGTGGTCGTTGTATTTTCACCTTAATGTCAATTAGGTCATTATAATTTATTTTATTGTCAATTTGTCACTATATTTTAATTTCATATCAATTTTTGCCACTAAGTCCAATTCCGTGACATCCCATTGATGCCAACTCAACTTGTATATACTTCATACAAAATTGAAGGTGTTAAGCAGTAACAAAATAGGATTTTGATTAAAATTTTCACCTTCCCCTCCCCAACTTGTTACTTAAGTCACCAAATTCAGATCTTTTTTTCTACATGTTCTCTTCTCACATGCTTGTTCTCCACCACCACCAAGCAAATGGTGACACTTTAAATTTGAGCCAAATGTGCAGAAGTCGGTGGAGATGACAAATTCACAAAAGACAACGACAAGGTCAATAGCCATTCCCCTCCCTCTCTCTATACAAGCATGTATGCAATCAACTGAGTTAGAGGGAGTTAATAGTTGAGTTAGCATTCTAGTAAAATCCACGTAGAATGGGTGTTTGTACTTACGGGCTATATAAGTATGCTACATTTGTGCATGTGACAGTCTATGAATGTTTGCAAAATTTATAATTTAAGTTAGTCAAATGTATATTTTATCTACATATGCTATGTTTGATGGCCTTTAAATTAAAATTCTTTTTTTTTCACATATTCATTCCACATATCTGCACAATAAAATATTCTGCATGTAAAACAAAAACTTTTTCCTACTTTTTAATCACACATTCTTCAGAAATTTAGTATTTGAAACTTTTCAGTTCCCAAATAATGGCCACGAAATCAGTGCTTAGTGTGACATACAATTACTATCAACTATTATCCACATATTCTGTATGACTCAAGTTTGTAAGCACTGAAAAAGCATTATAAAACATCCTCAAAATTGGACATAGTTACGTAAATTGAAGTCAAAACTAAAATATAGTATTCTTTTTAGACAAAGTAGAATATAGTAACCTAATTGAAATTTTGGCAAAAATATAGTGACCACAAATTAAATCTACCCGAAAAGGCAAAAACATCCAAACCCAACCCCTCACCGCTTTTGGTTGTCTCCCCATTTGTCAATCTTTGATTATTATTTTTGCGTAGCGAAATGAAAGATGATTAACGTGGTCAAATACTCGCCGAGTCAAAAGGATATTGTAGAATTTTCCATCTTGAATCAGAAAAAAAATGTCAAAATATCAAACAAATAATTAAAAAGTTTGAAAAAGTAAACTAATGCAATAAATTAACCACAATGGAGAACACCACCAAATATTTGTTCATTTTTTTTGTAAGAATACCCAACACTTGATAATTAAAAATTATGGATTCGTACACGAATATCGAGAATTGATTCTTGAACAGCAAATCGTTAATTTAACGAAATATGGACTTGGATGGAAAGAAATGAAAATCTGTCGATTTCAATATGTTTAGTCAGTCATCAATCAATAAATAGAAACGTAGAATAAGAGTTTAAATACTAAAACCTATAATAAAACCCTAATCTTGCAAAGGACAGAATTTACCCTAACTAAAATGATAATTAAGTAAAAGAATAAAAATAAATAAATGCATTAAAATTAATCAAAATTGTTAGGTCCAATCCTCTTGCCAATTGAAAAAGATTTGTCCACGAATCTTACATCATGCTTCATCCAATTCCTTGTAGTGCAAATAATCCACTAGATAAATAAATGTGAAATTACTCCCACCCATATTTTAACTTTCCAATTCAAAAATCAGGTTTCAAAATTTTTTGTGGAAACAATACATAATTCCAAAATTTGTCAAATTATCCCTACCCAATTAATAGTATCCCCACTTCACCCACCCCCATCAAATTAATAATATATCAATTAATAATATCACATGGACTTCCCAACCAACCCACGGACCCAACCATCCCATCCCACTCCATTCCACTAGTAAAAAAATCTCAATTACACCCCACGCCAAATAACATCCACCTACCCCACTCGACCCCACCCCAACCTTTAAAAAAAAATTTAAAACATTTTTTTGGGAGATTACACCTACCTCCACTGAATCACCCCACATTTGTGACTAACTGTGTTATTGTGACTAGATTTTTTTGTGACAAAATCTGTGTTATTTGTGACTAAATGTGACTAAATTTGTCTTCAGTGTAACTATTTGTAATAATCTAGTTTGTAACTGTATGTAACCAAGTCTCTAACATTTGTTATCTATGACTAACTGTGACCAAATTTGTAACTAACTGTGACCAAATTTATTTTTTGTGTGTCTGTTTGTAATCAGGTCAATCTTAACTGTGACGATATGTGATCAAATCACAATCGGTCACAATCAACACAATCGGTCACAAACAGTCACGAATAAAAAAAACTATTAGGTTGAAGATTTTCTATCAATCACAAATTATTAAATTAATTGATCGCGACATTTTTGGTCACAAATCACGCATTTTATAGGTTACAACTTATTTATCAACAGTCACAACTTCTCAAATTAATTGGTTACAACTTCTTGTCGATCACCGATTATCAAATTAATTGGTCACAACTATTTTCTCGATCACAAATTATTAAATTAATGAGTCACAACTTAATTCTCTGTCACAAATTATCAAATTAACTGGTCACGACTATTTTCTAGGTCACAATTTATTGAATTAATTGGTTGCAACTTATATCTCGATTACAAATTATCATTTTATCTCCCCCACCTAACGCACTACCACAACTATCACTAACACTTTCAATGAACTCTAACCACCACCACCACCACATGTAGATCAACAGATCCACACACCACACACAGTCCATTGTTCTAATCTGGACAACTAAGAAGATCACATACCAGCGACAAAGACACCATTGCACAGACACTCTACATAGCAGTGAAAGAGACTAAAGCTTCGTTTACGCCGCTACTGAAGGAGGCTGAACAACGCTGAAGACAGAGGCGCCTCTACACAATAACATCGCTTCGGTCACACAGTCGCGCAGCGTTGGTTGTTTCAAACTTCATCGTCGATGGCGACTGTATCACCGATGGTGGTTTGTGATAAAGAGAAGGGAAAGAATATAGAGAGAAAAAGATAATGAAAGATGATTATGGTCGGAAAATAAAATTGGGCTAGGATGGATGGAGGTGGGGTGTGAAGAATATGTAGATTAAATTTTATTTTATAATATTATTATTAAAAAAATTATTAATTTTGACCTATGATTGATTAAAATCTTAATGTTTTGATTATAATAAAAAAGTTGGTTTTTTTTTTTAACTAACAAGTTGAATTTAAGTTATTATAGTTTTTTAAAGCATAAAAAATTGTTCGATGGTCGTCAAAAGATCAAAAGTCATCATCACAAATCGGACTCATGAAAGAGGTCAAAATCGAAGTCACACATTCAAGAATTTAAGAGCCAAACTTCGGAGCAAAATGAAGGAATTGATTTCTTAAATAAAGTATAAAGGTATTAACACTTTAATATTTGGTAATGAATACTTAATCTCAAAATCTTTCTATGCATTAAAAATCATTATAATGCAATTATTTGATCAAATATAAAAATCACTTTTTAAAATGATATTTGAACTTGAAAAATATCTTTTATCTTGAAAAGTGAGTTAAAAATACTTTGTAAAAGTCCATGCTTTCCAAAACCTTCGTATCGGAACAAATGGGGTCAAAACGTAAAAAGGCAGAAACTGTCGAGCGGTTGACCAGCTAAAACACATGGTCGATTAGAAGTTTCCAATGGTCCAAAATTTGACTGTTATGACCTCTGATCTTTTACTGTACAAACGATTATATTGGTCATCAGGACAAAAGACGATCAACCGGACGAGTCATTCGAGCTCACAGAGTTTTGACTCTATAAATACCTCTACTTATTGCATTCATTACAACATTTGTCAAGAGTATCAAAGTTTGAGAGATTTCTTTAAATTTATATTTGCATTCATTTATTTTATTTATTCATATCAAAAACTTTGATTGATTCAAACTCTTTAATCATCATTTTCATCAAAAAAATTTCATCTCTCTTTTTGTACTTAAGTTATTTCTATTATTACTCATGAAAGAGACATATTTTGAAGAAAATCTTTGAACTTATATTGCATATATTTCTTCTACTTCTTCATATTAAAAACTTAGAT